CAGATACAGCAAATGGTGAGGATGCAGAGACACTGGAGGCATGATACGCTGGAGAGAACATAAAGCTGTGCAGTCAGCGTTTTTCACTCCTAAGTACACCCAGGAGAAATGAAAATGTCTCCAAACAAAAACTCACGAATGTCAATAACAGTGTTATTCATAATAGCCAAAATATGAACACAATCTAGATGTCCATAAAGAGATAAACATGGTGCAGCTATGTAATGAAATATCAATAGCCATAAAAAGAATGAAGTATTAAACACATGCTACAAGATGAATGAACCTTACAAACATGCTGAGAAGTCAGACAAAAAAGGATAAATGCCATGTGTTTATCATATTGATAACTACCTTAATTGTCATCATAGAACGTCATCTAGTATATGATGGAAGCAGATGCAGAGATCCACAGAAACACTGGGACGAACTCCTGGAGTCCAGCCATAGAGAGGGAGGAGCGATATTATGAGCAAAGGGGCCAAGACCATCATAGGGAAACCCACAGAAACTACTGACCTGAGTTATTGGGACTGACAACTGGAGAACCTGAATAAACCCAAACTAGGCCCTCTGAATGTGGGTGACAATTGTATGGCTTGGTCAGTTTTGTGGGGCCACTAGCAGTGGAACCAGTATCCCTAGTGCATGAACTGGCTCTTTGGAGCCCATTCCCTATGGAGGGATACCTTGCTCAACCTAGATACAGGGGGAGGGCCTTGGCCCTGCCTCAAAATGATGTGTCAGACTTTGCTGATGCCCCATGGGAAGCCTTACCCTCTCTGAGGAGTGAGGGGCGTGGGGTGGTGAGAAGATGGGGGAGCAGGAGGACATAAGTGAGAAAGAACTGGGATTGGTATGTAAAATAAGATTGTCTTAAAAATAAAATATATGACTGTATTTGTGTGGAATGAGAATTTGTAGATACATAGAAACAAAATAACACAGGGCAGATGAGATGACTCAGTGTATAAAGGCACTTGCTGCCACACCCAGAAACGTGAGTTCAGTCCCCAGAACCCATGTTGTGGAAGGTGAGTGCTGATTCCCACAAGCTGTCCTCTGACCTCATGCATGTAGGATATGTGTGTCCACATACACACAAAATAAGTAAACAATGTAAATGGTTGCCCTCTATGCAAAGGTTGTATATTCTGTTCCCTTTCCCAGGTGTACGGGGTGTTCTAGATTGTGTATCTTGTTTTATAGATAAAAGATAGATGACTCTTGATGGAGTTTTGTTAGAAGTTAGTGGAGGAAAAGCCCAGATATAACCTGTGTCCTATATCTTTCCTCCCTGAGAAGGAGCTTCACACACGATTTATGCTAACAGTCTGTGAGGTCGACAGCATCTTAGACAGGTACTCAGGTCTGTTTTTGTCTTTCAGATGCCCACCTGTCTTGCCCCGTATTTTGAAGTACCTAGATAGCCTGCAATTTCAATACTGTAGTAGATTCAATAAAATATTTTGGAATTCATCCAGTTTGGGATTCTTTTTTATTATTATTATTATAAGGGTGAGGATAATATTGTCTTTATTCTGCACATCTCTTAGGTGAAATTGAAAGTACGACTGTACTTTTCAGAAACATCAGTCATGTAAGACTGAAAAACTATTCCAGATGGAAAGAGGCTAAATACATAATTTGACATCCAATATGGTAGCACATACCTGTAATTGCAGCATCAGGAGATGAGATAGGAAGATCCCTAAGTTCAAGGTCAGCCCTGATGTTGACTGAGTTTTCTGTTCCCGCAGTTGTTAAGTCCCAAAGAAATCTCACTGAGGTCTACATTAGTTGTAAACTGTAGGCCTAGTACCTCAGACCTCTTATTAATTCTTACAACTTATGTCAGCCCATTATTCTTGTCTGTGTTACCCATGTGGCTCGGTACCTTATTCAGCAAGGCAGTCACATTTTGCTTCTTCTGTGTCTGGGTCATGACTACAGACTGAAGCCTCCTTCTTCCCAGAATTCTAGTTGCCCTGCCTCTGCTTCCTGCCTGGAATCAGCATTTTATTAAAAATAATACAAGTGACAGGATAAAAGACCATTGTTCCACAGCACTTCCCCCTCCCTTTAAAAAAAAGTACTCTGAATCTAATATCCTTTGTTTAGCTTTTCTCCTGACCATTATCCATAACAACTTGTAACCAACGTTCTAAACAGAGGAAAATTATGCATAGTCCATTTTTGGGGAATGGGGGCATAGTTTTCCAGGTTGCTTCCTGCTGACTAGGGACATTGATAATCTGATGGGGACCTAAAGAAAATTTAGAATTATGATCAAGTCATTATTGGAGTGTCCTATGAGGCTTGATCATCTCAGGCAGCACTCTTGAATCTGTTCTGGATGTAGAACTCAGACATCTGGGCCATCCGTTCCTATTGGAGATTTCTCAGGGGGTCTTCCTTGATCAAACCTTCCTTGATCAATACCTATCTTGGATTAAGTCACCAGCATTTATAAACAAATATCTTTTAGCAGCTGTTGCTCCTTCCTCAGCATTCAAACAATTCAAAGAGAACATAATAACATACAGTATTCAGACTCTGTGTATTTTTCATCTTTACGTGGCTTTATTTTAACCTCTTCTATATTTTTAACTTTTGGCTTTTTGAGACAGGGCTTCTCTGTGTATCTTTAGCTGTCCTGGAACTCCCTCTGTAGACCAGGCGGTCCTTGAACTCACAGAGATCTGCCTGCCTCTGTCTCCCAAGGGCTGAGATTAAAGATGTGTGTCACCACAGCCAACCACTCTCTTTTTTATTTTAAGGACTTTATCCTTTTTTTCTTTTCTCTCCCAAGCCTACATATATTTTTAACACACTGTAAACTGTTTAGAGGTTTTCTTGTCTTTGAATCTCTCTTTATTGTATATCTCTCTTTTCCTGACCATATGAGTCTTTAATTTGCTAAGCAATATGGCTAGAGTTAAAGCCATGGCTTTGATGGCTAGATCCACCCCATTTTTTAGCTTTCTGAGAGTCTAGCTTCAGTGTGGAGGTACTGGCCAGAGCCATGTTTATTGCCACAATTGTATGGAGTTTCAAGGTCCTGTCACCACCAAGAAGCATGCTGTAGGCTATTCATAAACACCATTTAAATGTTTTGTGGCAGAGCCTCTTAAAAGAGCTGCAAGGTTTTGCAGCTAAAGCTGAGTCAGGAAGCTTCTCTTAAATGAGAGTGCTTGCCTCTTGCAAGCAGAGCCCACCTGAGAAAAATGCTTGTTATCAATAAGCTGTGCTTAATTCTATTCTTTTCTGTCTAGAATTACTTCCCAAGCTCACTCAGGCTTTGTGTGGATGCAGTTGTCCACACAATGGGCCCAGTTTGTTGCATGAAGGCTGCTTGGTAGTTCTAGGATGCCTGGCCGCCTGGCTAACTAGTTCCCAGCTGCCCAGAACATAAATAATCACATAGAAACTGTATTCATTAAATCACTATTTGGCCCTGAGCTCTAGCTTCTTATTGGCTAATTCTTACATCTTAGTTTAACCCATCTCCATTAATCTGTTTATCGCCATGTGGCAGTGGCTTACCGGCTAAGTTTCAGCATGTCTGACTCTGGCGGCAACTCAATGGTGGCTCTCTGACTCTGCCCTGCTTCCTCCCAGCATTCAGTTTAGTTCTCCCCACCTAACTCTGTTCTACCCTATCAGGTCAAGCCACTTTCTTTATCCATTAACCAATAAAAGCAACACATAGACAGACTTCCCACACCATCCTGAGATACAGAATGAGAATGTATTTCAAAAAATTAAAGGTACAAATAAAAACAGAATTGTGTGCAATTTTAAAGTAGATCATTTTACTACTGATACAACTGGTAGAGCCTCTGTTGGAATCTTAGGGTTAGACAGCAGTAACAGACCAAAATTATGATCTTGATGGGTATATTAATGGTTGTATGGGAGAATTTCTTCTTTGTCAGGAACATGCAAGTGTTTGGAAAGGATTTAGTACTGTATTGCTAAAGTATTTTAGGAGAACAATTTTTGTTTACTGTTGCTTGCTTTCCACATATATCCAATTGTTTCTAAATAAGTTAGAAAACAACATACCTAGAAATAAATCTAACAAAGGACATAGAAGTCTTATGTATAACCATAAGACATTAACAGTAGCAATTTTTTAAGAGTTATGTAAATAGAGGGCATTTACAGAGAGGAAATGCCCAACTGAGCCTGGAAAGACTCTCCTAATGCAAATGGCACCTCAGCATGGACTTATGAACCAGATAGAAGAAAGGAGCAGCATGCTGAGCACCAGCATCCCTTCTCTGGTCCCTGACTCTCGATGATGTGATATGATGGGACCTGACTTGTTCTGTTGTGCCTTCCCTGCCATTATGGATGAACCCACTGAAACCACGAACAAAAACAAATGCTCCTTTAAGTTTGTCAGTTGTTTGATCGCAGAAACTAAAAGTAACTAATATAAGGGGAGATAGTAGAGTCATGTTTTGGAAGGCTCATTCTTTAAAGACATAAATTATCCCCAAACTAATCTACAGATTTGGTGTAATCCCAACAACAATTGGAACTGGAAGTTTTGTGGAAGTCTTAAGAATATTCACCCTTCCTGGGGAGAGAAGAAACAAATCTGTTTACCAGTTTAAGGGAGGACCAAGCAAAAGGCTGAAAACAGAAGAAGCAGAAAGTACAAAATGGAATGAGCAAGACACTTAGAGAAGGGGTAAAATAGCATGGAGGACTCAAGAGAACTAGAAACTTGACTGTAGAGCTTGTCAGCATAAAATAACTGCCGCTGAACTGGACAGTAATTAGCACAAGGTGCACATCCAGTCATGAGTTCTGATCCAGTGTGACAATGTTATTGCTTGTGATGAATCCTTGATAAAAAAAAAAAACTAGCCCTCTGTAAAACGTTGACTTTTAGGCTGCATATATATCAATGAGTAATTTGAAAGCATATATTAAAATTTATTTTGAAGTTATATTCAATTACTTCTCCCCTCTTTTTTTTTTTTTAGAGTGGACTCCTTTTTTTCCTGAGCCGATATATGTCCCAACGGGCATGGAAATAGAACCTGTTTACCCAAACTCCAAGGAAGATACTGTGGTTTATCTAGCTGAAGACAGTGGGTATATTTAACACACTGATGTAAAATATAACTGGATGTCTGGTTTAATGTCTTAGACCTTTTTGTTGTTTGTAGAGGGAACTTCAAATTACTCGGAAGTCCCTGTTGTCTTAATAACGCATGACTACATATTCAGATGTTTAGTGCTGATTCTGTTTTCGCAGACATATTTTAAATATGCTATCCATTAAATGGAAAGTTCCTTAGAGACTGAAATATATTTTGTTTGTTTTCAAATATGAATCTAGTGATATCCGCAAAGTCATTATTCCCTCTATCTGCAGTTTGTAAAAATCAGTCAAGTGATTTTCTGTTAATTTCATCTCTGTTTGGTGAATTTTTTTTAATGTTACCGTCTTTGAAAGAAAAGAAAATAGTCCATATTGCAAATAAGATCCAAAGTTACATTCTAGGAAAGTGTTTTTAATGTTTGAGAGCTCTACAAATGCAGACGTCTTGTCTGCCTTTAAGATAATGCATGCTGGTAACTCAACAGAAATCTGGGTCAATGTCCTAATTATGGGACTCTTATGAAATTTCCTCATCAGAGTTTGATATCTTATTGTTTCTATATATTAAAGTAGCTTCCAGAGAGCATACATATTGAGAAAGCAAGCATGCTAAAGAAAAATTCAGAATGGCTGTTTGTCTGCAGTGACAGTCCCAGAAATCATGTACTCACATGTATACAAACACTGAAGTGATAAGCACTTCTCAAATTTTAAACTTTCGTTTTCAAATATTTGCATAACTAACCTATGATCTTTCACACATAACTGAAATGAGGTAACTAGAAAACTTAAGTGGTTTAGGTCAATAAGGAGGTTAGGTTAGGTTAGTCGGAGTTTACCTGAAGAAACTTAATGAATTTACAACAGAGCAGATAGAGCTGAAGGAGACAACAGGAGGCTATCAACAGAAAATGGCCTGTCTCCAGAAAGTGGGATGGTCTCTAGACCTACAGCCGGTAACTAAGTGAGAAGTCAACTCCTAAGCCACTGTGGCTTCCAGTAGAGAACACAGTGGGCGATAGCCAAATGTTACTCTCTCCTACCTTCCCAAGTTCTACAGAGCTTTCTGCTGTCCTCAGCAGAGGCTCAGAGACCCTCTCAGACAGTCCCTGAAGATCAGGATACCCAGAAGTGTAGTGATGGGAGCGGCAGGCTGCGGCCTGGCTCCCAGTTAGCTTTACCCAAAATAATTACATGGAAACTGTATTCATTTAAACACTGCTTGTCCCATTAGCTCTAACCTCTTACTGGCTAACTCTCACATCTTGATTAACCCATTTCTATTAATGTGTGTAGTCCCACAAGGAGGTGGCTTACCGGGAAGATTCTAACCTGCATCCATCTCGGAGAGGAGAGCTATGGCGTCTGACTCACTTCCCTTCTTCCCAGCATTCTGTTCTGTCTACTCCACCCACCTATGTTCTGACCTATCAGGCCAAGCAGTTTCTTTATTAATTAACCAATCAAAGCAACAGACAGATAGAAGACCCACCTACATCACAGAAGCACGTAAAGGAGAAAAATGTGCTGTGGGAAGAGAGTAGAGGATGGGCCTGAGGGAAAAACCATGTGCATTGCTGTTTGAAAACCACCTCACCTGATTGTAGCATTGGCTTTGGCGGTTGTGAAGATCTGCCTTTAAATGGTTTGAAAGGAAAGCAGTGGAAATAAGATTTGAAGATGAAAACTTTCAACCATACTTTCATCAGCATATAAAAGATCATTCTAAATTACTTATGTTTCTCCATGTTTTGTTAATAATGAAAACAACAGAAAAGGGTTTCAATATGTTAAGATATAAATTAAGTACCAATGAACACTAAAGGTTTTGAGAAAGCTGTAATCCTCCAATAGGATGTGGAAGACGAGGACACTGTGTGATATGATTAGCAGGGTGTTAAATCAAGGTGAAATAGGCTGAGTTTACATTTTTTGGAACCCCAGAGAATTCTTATTTGTCTACCTGCTGGTGAGTTCCCAAATATTCTGCTGAGCAAGTGTTGCTCTGATTTCTGTCAGTGATCCTAAGCTCCCTGGAGATAAACTCACAAAGCAAGCATGCCTTTATGTCTGGCTGCTCTGCCTCAGGGCTCTGTTCTTCAAATCCACTGTGCTACTGATGCTTTCATACGCCAAGTAATTCACCCTTCTATAACTACATAACAACTTACTCTCTTTTTATGTTCATGATCTATTTTGAATAATTTTTTGATGCATGGCTTGGAATATAAAAGTTAAGGTTTATTTTCCTACACACCTGTTTTTGAAACTATTTTACCCTGAAGTATTGAAAAGACTATCCTATCCTCCATGGAAGTGTCTAGCTACCTTAGTGAAATGTCGGTTCACAGTATACATGTCAGTCTGTTTCTAGACAGTATGTTCTGTGGTGGTGTATTAATGAGTGTGCTAATACCACACTGGTGGTGTAGCTTTATTCATAGCTGGATACTTTGATACAAAAAAAATAGCCATTTGAGCTTTTTTATTAGTATTTATATTGTATATCTTTTTCCACCATTTAAAATGTTTGTTTTGTTTTTGGTTATGTGAGGCAGGGTCTTACTGGGTAACACTGGCTAGCCCAGGACTCACTATGTAGACCAGGCTGGCCTCAAACTCATAGATTCACCTGCCTCTGCTTCCCAAGTGCTGGGATCAAAGGTGTGGGCCATCATACTTGGCCACATCATTTAGTTTTTAATCTGTTTTGTTCATTTTTTAAAATAGGTACTTACAACATATAGCTGTGCTTGGCTTTTTATATAGTTTGAAGATATGTTTTTAAACTATGCTAATCAATATAAGTTTTGATGCAATTGGATTCAATACTTACCATCCTGCTGTGTTGTGTTTTTGTTTTCACTTGTTTTAGGTTTTTGTGTGGTTGCCTTAGGTTTTTTAGCATATGTCTTTATAAAAGATTCTCCTTGCAGCTGGGTGTTGGAGGCACATGCCTGTATTTTAATACTCAGGAAACTGAGTCAGAGGATCACAAATTCAATGCCAGCCTGATATACATAGGGAAAATTTTTCTCAAAAGGAGATTAACTGGGGATGGAGAGATGGCTCAGTAGTTAAGAGCACTTTCTGCTCTTGTCCAGGATCCCAGTTAAGTTTCCAGAGCCCACACTGGATAGCCAACAACCATCTGTAACTCCAGTTCCAAGGGATGCAACACCCTCTTCTGACCTCCAGGGACACTAGACACGCACATAGTGTGCATACATACGTACAGGCACTCAAATACATATATATGTGTGTGTGTGTGTATTTATGTATGTATGTATTTATATGTTATATCTTTTTAAAATTAATAATTTTAAAATAATTATAAAAATTACTTTTAAATAACCCGATGTCATTTCATATATAATACAAAAATCTTGTAAAAATGTATTTTCAATTTCCTTTTTATCATAATTTCAAATGTATTTTAACTTTTCCATGTGCTAAAACAGTTACTGTTCCCTTCATTAGTAATCTTTTTTTTTATTGAGAATAAGAAAAAAAAAGTTTCCGCGTCCTCCCAGCCTCCCATTTCCCTCCCCCTCCCCCCATCCTTCTCCCCCTCCCCCCACTCCTCTCCCCTTCCCTCTCTAATCCAAAGAGTATTCTTGGTTCCCTGCCCTGTGGAAAGTCCAAGGTCCTCCCCCCTCCGTCCATGTCTAGGAAGGTGAACATCCAAGCTGGCTAGGCTCCCACCAAGCCGGAACATGAAGTAGGATCAGAACCCCTTGCCATTGACCTTGGCTTCTCATCAGTCCTCATTGTTCGCCATGATCAGAGAGTCCGGTTTTATCCCATGCTTTTTCAGTCACAGTCCAGCTGGCCTTGGTGAGCTCCCAATAGATCAGCCCCACTGTCTCAGTGGGTGGGTGCACCCCCCGTGGTCCTGACATCCTTGCTCGTGTTCTCCCTCCATCTGCTCCTCATTGGGACCTTGGGAGCTCAGTCCAGTGCTCCAGTGTGGGTCTCTGTCTCTATCTCCATCCATCACCAGATGAAGGTTCTATGGTGATATGGAAGATATTCGTCAGTATTGCTATAGGATAGGGTCATTTCAGGTTCCCTATCCTCAGCTTCCCAAGGGACTAACTGGGGACATCGCCTTGGGCTCCTGGGAGCCACTCTAGGTTCAAGTCTCTTGCCAACACTAAGGTGGCTCCCTTAACTAAGATATGTGCTTCCCTGCTCCCCTATCCAACCTTCCTTTATCCCAATCTTCCTGTTTCCCCAAGTTCCCCCAATCCTCCCCTTCTCACTTTTCTCTCCCCGTCCCCCCTTATCCCCAACCCACCCCACCCCCAAGATCCCAATTTTCTCCCCGGCAACTTTATCTACTTCCCTTAGCCAAGAGGATAACTATATGTTTTTTCTTGGGTTCACCTTCTTCTTTAGCTTCTTTAGGTTCACCAGGTATACACTCCGTGACCTTTATTTATGGCTAGAAACCAATTATGAGTGAATACATCCCATGTTCATCTTTTTGGGTCTGGGTTACCTCGCTCAGGATAGTGTTTTCTATTTCCATCCATTTGCATGCAAAATTCGAGAAGTCATTGTTTTTTACCGCAGCATAATACTCTAATGTGTATATATTCCACACTTTCTTCATCCATTCTTCCATTGAAGGGCATCTAGGTTGTTTCCAGGTTCTGGCTATTACAAATAATGCTGCTATGAACATAGTTGAACAAATGCTTTTGTCATATGATAGGGCATCTCTTGGGTATATTCCCAAGAGTGGTATTGCTGGGTCCAGGGGTAGGTTGATCCCGAATTTCCTGAGAAACCGAAACACTGATTTCCAAAGTGGTTGCACAAGATTGCATTCCCACCAGCAATGGATGAGGGTACCCCTTCCTCCACAGCCTCTCCAGCAAAGGCTATCATCGGTGCTTTTGATTTTAGCCATTCTGACAGGTGTGAGATGATATCTCAAAGTTGTTTTGATTTGCATTTCCCTGATTGCTAATGAGGTTG